CATCAAACGTGTTCAGGAGATCAGCAAGGAGGTATGTCCGAGAAGTACACATGTGTGAGTCCCGGTGCTTTAGTCGATATATCAAAAATGATAACGAGGAGCTTCACCACGCTGCTATGACCGCGCTGGGCTCTAAAGTACTGTCAATGAAGGATCCTTCTAGCGTCAGGCTCTCTTGAGTAGATAGTGTCCTCTCGACAAGCCCAGATGGCCAAGATTGCTACCGACGCTGTCTTGTCGGTTGCCGACTTGGAGCGGAAGGACGTCAACTTCGATCTTATCAAAGTCGAGGTAGTGCTGTTCACTCGTCTTGCCCGTGATAGTACTTCCATGGGATTTAGGGCAAGGTTGGCGGCCGATTAGAAGATACCTGTTTAGTCAATGGCATTGTGATCGACAAGGAGTTCTCCCATCCCCAAATGCCGAAGGAGATTAAGGACGCCAAAATTTGTGGGAATTCGTGCAAGTGTGCCAGTAGATTTCACTTCTGTCCCAATTAGGCATTCTCACCTGCCCATTTGAGCCACCGAAGCCTAAGACCAAGCATAAGATCGACATCAAATCTGCTGAGGACTACAAGAAGCTTTATAAATATGAGCAAAAGTAGTCGAACGTCGCTTGGGGGTATGACCATCATAGTCGTCCTCAGGTATTTCTCTGACATGGTAGACACAATGCTAGCATCTGGTGCTAATTTGGCGATCTGTCAATGGGGGTTCGATGACGAGGCCAACCATCTCTTGTAATGAGAACTCTTTTACAAATCATTGGTATTGTGCATGCCCACAGGTATCAGCGCAATCTTCCGGCTATCCGTTGGGTTGGAGGTGTTGAGCTCGAGCTCATTGCTATTGCTACTGGGGGCCGTATCGTCCCTCGATTCTCGGAGTTAACCTCTGCTAAACTTGGTAAGTTGAGTAGCTTCATCGCTGCATAGAATACTAATCATTTGTTTCAGGCCGTGCCGGTACAGTGAGGGAGTTGAGTCTCGGCACTACTGATAAGGACTCTATGATTGTCATTGAGGACTGTGCTAATTCAAAGACTGTAGGCTATCTGGAGGTGTAGAATGGCTTTTACCATTCTCTTCCGTCATCAGGTGACGGTGCTAGTCCGTGGTGGTAATCAGATGGCTGTTGATGAGGCCAAGAGGTGCTTACATGACGCCATGTGTTGTGTCCGAAACCTCATCCGCGACAGCAGGGTAGATCCTTTCCAGCGACTATGGGTTTATTCACTTCAATCAGGTTGTGCCCGGTGGTGGTTGCTCTGAGATCGCCGCGAGTATTGCCGTCGCTGATGCTGCTGATAAGGAGCCCACTGTTGAGCAGTACTCTATGAGGGCCTTCGCCGACGCGCTTGAGACAATTCCGAACTGTCTTAGTGAGAATTCAGGGTTACAGCCACTCAAGACGGTGGCTCAAGTGAGGTAGTATTACCAGTTGCTCTTTCAGTCAGCGTAGTTCTATTCATTCAGGAATCTCCAAATATCCACCGGAAAGCCTGTATTTGGGGTCGACTGCATTGCTCAGGGCACAAATGATATGTGGAAGCAGGGCGTGTATGAAGCCACGGCTTCTAAGGTGATCATGATAGGTGAACTCTCCGTGCTCATTTCGCAAGTCTTCGTTTCAGATCGAGCAACTCAGCCTCGCGACACAGGTGGTCAAAATGATTCTCAAGATTGATGATGTGATGTCTCCGTACGATTATGACCAGTAGAAATCCCTTATTGGTGGGCGGCATCGCTGTGAGCACGTATACCTTGAAAGATTCCACAGCGAGCCGACGCTGACTGAGACTGCTAACGATTACGTTTCTAACGTTATCTAAATACCCTTCCCA